GTGTCAAAGGCCTTGCTGAAGTCCAGAAAGACTACATCCACCGCGACACCTGCATCCATGGCCTTTGTGACCTGATCGTAGAAGGCAATCAGGTTGGTCTGACATGATCTCCCCCTAATAAATCCATGCTGATTGCCCCTGAGCATCATTTCTGATGCCGGCCCATCACAAATGTGCTCCTTGATGATCTTCTCCGGAATATCTAACACTGGAGTAATTTAAGCCTATTATTTCTCCTCCTGTTTCCTGTGCATACAAAGAACAATTGCTTGTCATTCACTTTACAACAAAACTTTTTGTATTTGAAGATTGTTATCAAATCCTCCCTCCGTTTTCTTTTCTCTTCTCCAAACTAAATAGTCCTGGTTCCTTCAGACTCCTTATAAATCATGTTTCCTACAACTCCAGTTACTTCTGTTGTTCTGCTCTGGCCTCTTTTGTCCACTTTGTTGTTGAAATAAAGTGCCCCAAACTGAATGCAGTATTTCAGGTAAAGCCTTACCAGTGCTGAATAGAGTAAAATAATCACTTCTTGTGACATACATGTGACAGTTCTGTTAATGTTATTTGCCAGTATGTTAATAATGTTTTTTTTTCTGCAACACTATTACCATTTCAAAATATGCGGTATTATATTCATCTTGTGGTCCTCTCTATACCCAGCTCCTAGTTCTTCTCCATTTTGTATTTGGATATTTGATTGTTCCTTCCTATGTGTAGTACTTTGTCATTGTTTTAAATAAATTTCATCTGATATTTTCAAATTATTTTTCCAGTTGATAAAGGTACTCTTCTCTACTTAAGCTTTCTTGTTTTAAATATTCCACAGTCTTGATACAGCCTTTCCATAGCATTGTTTTTGTTTTGTTTTTCTTCTGGACAACAGGGAAATAATGCTCTTAATTCCTTTTTTGCTTTTTTTTCCTTCTCTGCCTATCTTTTCCTTTTTCCACTAAATTTTGTTTAGTTAAATTATAAGCTTGTCCAAAATTTAAAACCAATGCAATTTTATTTAAAAGTTTGAACATGAAGTCTGTAGGATTGAAACAAAACCTTTACAGTAGTGTTTTGAAAAATGGTGATGGTAGAGCAATAAACCTTCTAACAGATTTATTGCTAAGACAAAATACTGAGCTAAAGAAAATATTGAGAAATCTTTAAAAAATAAGAAAATATATAGGAACATTCAGAAAGACAATATCATGAGACACAGTAAAGAAAATTTTAAGTTTTAAGGGGAAAAAAATTTAAACTAGAAATGTTCTTTTAAAAGTAGGTATATATTAAATGACAGGAAAAACAGGACAGAGTGGGTGCATCTACACAAGACACTTTACCCCTAAGTAGTGCAGTTTACTGCATAGTAAGCATGTGCGTCTACACGTGTGCATGCTTACTGTGCAGTAAGCCTCACTAAGCATGAGTAAATTTGTTACCTGCAGATGCAAGTATAAAATTTACTTGCAATTACTAGCTGCTCAGTAGCGCTCATGTAGACATATGCTCAGGAGCAAGGAGCTCTAAGCGTGTGTGTGTGTGTGTGTGTGTGTGTGTGTGTGTGTGTGTGTGTGTGTGTGTGTGTGTGTGTGTGTGTGTGTGTAGTGATTTTTTTATATATATACACATATATATGTTAGAAGCCTTGAAGCACTCATGTAGTTAGTAAGTTAGAAGCGCTCATGTAGACATATGCTCAGCAGCAAGGAGCTCTAAGTAAGTGTGTGTGTGTCTGTACTGATTTTATATAACATGTATATTATTCTCATACTCAGGCTGGTAATTCATATTTATTCATGTCTTTTTACTTTAGCATTTACATTAGAAATCAAGTTATAAAGCTGTTCCTTTAAGAAAGAATCCACAGCGCTGACAATGAACTCTGTGTAACTCATTGAAGAAAGTGTTCTTTATTTCAAATTTGGTTAAGAATTGGCTTAATGCATCTGGACAGTAATTAAAGAGAGAATCTTGAAAAAAGCTCTATCTGTATGTAATCATCCAAGAAGAACAGAATGTACTTATCTTGTAAATCTACCTATAGTTGGTTTATTCAAAAACTCATAAGCTATGTAAATAAGGCCATTCACCCTAACAGCTAGAACCTGTTTCACTTCACTCACCCAACCACAGATGGTTAAGTGCAATTTGAGCACACAAAAGTGAAGCTGAATGTAGCCCTAGGCTGCGTCCACACGAATGCAGACATTTTTTTTCCCCAGGGACAAGTAGCAATGACACAAGGTGGGGAGACATTATGGCCATGTCCAGATGAGCACGGACATGTGGTATGTCAAGCTGCAGACCCAGCTGCAGCACCATACACCTCACATGCAGGCATTCCCTGTGCATCCCAGGGTCAAGCTCTCCCCCCCCCTCCAAAAAAAACAAAACAAAACAACACAATACAGGTAGAGCTGTTCTAATTAAAGTGCCCACAAGGTATACCACTGCTACTTGTCCCTGGGGGATGCCCATGCCACGTGTCCTCTGGTACACATCAGGTTACCCCAGGTGGGGTAGGGGAGGC